TCCCACGACATTTTCAGAGCTTCTCCTCGCGGCATTGTATCTGCCAATAGCTTCCACCAGCTCAAGACTCCAGTTTTCAATTGCCTCACAGCGAAGATAGTCTTCTGCTTCTCACTACAATCACAACTTTCAAGCACCATTTCCATCTCGGAGATCCATTCCATGATCTCAACAGGCTTTGGGCTTCCTGAGAGACTTGGTGGTTTTGCACCCAAGAAATTTTTGTACATCCGCCCATCCTTGTTGTTTCTCCCTTCTGGGCCATCCCTCTGCTCACCTTGAGTCCCTATTTGACTCACTTGGTGGCTATAGTTTCCTTCCTCGGATTGCTCGGGAAATGGCTCCACCGGTTCAACATGTATGGTAGATTCGTCCCTATTCTCGTGGAGAATTCGTCTCATTTCTTCCCTTTGTTCAGCTAGCATAGCCTGAATTACAGCTTGAACTCCAGCCATGGTGACTGGCTCAGGTGCAACTTCTTCAACAACATGTATTTGCTGAACTACTGGGGGTTGGTTCCTATCCCCATTTGCGTTTACGTTTCTGCTACGGGTCTTTGCCATCTTGATCTATACACCGAATAAGGTGAATTTAGATCTTTATTCATTATAGAATCTGAAACGCTTACATGCTAGTTCTAATATCGTAATCATACGCTTAGAATCCTACACACATAAGGTTTTCCAGATCCGGTCGGCAACAGACCATAGATCTAAACAATAATATCATGTATAGCAAACACATAACATTTACCACATAAAAGCATTTTAGGCATCTTTCCTAAAATATACTAGTGCTCACACCTCACAATCATTGCTTAGCATTCTAAGTTTAAGTCTAGAAATCCTACAAATTCCTAGTTCGCTTAAACTAATGCTCTGATACCAACTGTGACATCCCCAATTTCACGGACAGAAAAGATCAGTTTTGTTTATACTTTATTTCAAAATCAGAGTAACCTTTTAATAAAAGAAGGCGGAATTTATCCCAAAACAATAATATGATAAAGATTTATCAAAAGCATTTCCTTAGAAATGTATTTCATTAAAAGAATTGGGATGTCATGTTCGATACAGTACATAAGTATAAACAATACATTATAAGCCTTACAATAGTTATTTACAACTAATGGCCTATAATCCAAAAGTCCATCATCATCATCATAATTATGCTCTGAGTCCACTACCTGTAAAACAGAAAGCTGAGTGGGTCAGGCTTGGGAGCCTGGTGAGCATATAGGGTTTTCAACCCACAAATAATAATAAATTTATTAATTTCATCGATCAACAATAAATTTATTAATTTCATCAATCAATAATAACCTTGATTACCCATTCCCGTTATCCTCATTTTACGTCCCTAAACACCTATACAAGGGACCTAGTCTAAGGATTTTATCATCGGGATGGACACTACTGCTAAGGGGGTTCCTCAACAATAAATGTCCTAAAGGCAACCATGAGGGGGATGGAGTACACCGGTGAACACATCGTTCACAACATCTACAGGTTACGAGCCTGCTAGCGTTCCACTGGACTGTCTAGAAGAGTTTGTGGTTGTCATCCATACTCCGCTAGATGACTGGAACAACAACAACATCGAGGCCTCTCATCATTTTAACACACATAAACTATTTTGTCTACCCATGTTCTACCCAACATATTTGTAGATAAAATACATATACAGTTTATAACTTGTATAAAACATTGTATTCAACAATCATCTCAAATAAACAATCAATATAATTATACATAACACGTATTTTATAGAAAATACTTCATATCTATGTGTAAGCTGAAAGTGACTCTACACTTACTTGATTTGATGATAATCGGGCAGCAATTCGTTCCTTAAAATGATCGTTTTTGATAAAACTGAGAGTTTTATTGAGAAACCGGGATCTGCGAGAGTTGGAGCTTCAAAATCGAAAAGATAAAATTTTCCTGGTTTTCGGGCACTTCGGGACGTATTCCGGGCTTTAAAAATGATATCGGGGCTTCGGGGGAAGTCAAAATAGTCAAAATATAAGTTTAGGGGTGTAAAATGACAACTTTTCAAAAGTAGTTGGGAGATCTCGTAGCCCTCCCTATTTATAGGGTGTGAGGCCGAGGTCTCCGTGGCTGAGAAGCTTCTACGCAGCTGCTTGCGATGCTCGGACACGGAAGGGAGGCGTGGCTGTGAGGGGAGGAGGCGCGTGGCATCAGCGAGGCGAGACACGGAGGCGGCTACGAGGGTCGGACGTGGCTGTGTGTGGTTCAGCCACGAGGCGGCTTCTGATTGGCCGAGGCTTCAGTCCGAGGGGGTTGCGAAACGCGTTTGGTCCGGATTCGGCCACGTCCTCGGTGACGCAGCAGCTTCGTGCGAGGTGACGTGTCGGTTACTGTTCATGCGAAATTTTTCGAATTTTGAGCCCCGAACTTCTAAAATCCATAACTTTCGCATACGAGCTCCGTTTTTGACGTTCTTTATATGCACGCGTAGCTAAAATCATGCTCTACAACTTTCATTCAGACTTCGTCGGCTAAGTTTGACTTTAATTTTAATATTATTATTTTTAACAGACCGGGACAGGAAAATCCGTTAAAAATTCATAACTTCTTCATCCAACGTCCGTTTTCGTCAGTCTTTTTACCGTTGTACTACTATTGACGAGACCTTCGATTCTTGTTTAGGTTGTGTCGGCTAAATTTCGCTCAATCTTAAATTCGAGTATTTAGCTGTCTACTGCTAAGCTAAAACTTAGAAAAATCATAACTTCCTATTAAAATATGGTAAGGCATGTGGAAGATATGGTGGATAACCTATTGACCCATGTTCAAATCCTGGCACCACTCAGCCCTTGTGGCCATGGAGGTTCGCCTGCAGTGACTCCAGGGCATGAAGCAAAGCTTTATGTTTGCAGCGGGGGATTAGTCGGTGCGCGAAAGCTGGCCCGGAAACCCTCGTTAGGGAAGATCCCTTTCCAAAAAAAAAAAACTTCCTCATACGAAGTCAGATTTGGGCGTTCTTTTTATCGAACTTGTCGGTTTAACGAATACTACGACTTTAGTTTAGATTGTTAAGGCTAAAAAGCACTTTATCGTAATATTCACTTTTTACGCTTCCCAGTGCCGTGTCGGTTTTGTCGCGAAAATTCGACAGGTCACAACTTCTTCGTTATAACTCGGATTTCGACGTTCTTTATATCTCCGGAATCCTTGTTTCGGCCACTACAACTTTCTTAAAAGATATCGGCTTTTTATAATATTTATTTTAAATGCTTATTTTTATTATTAATTAATTAAGCAAATAAGCATATAATTCACATAATATTCACATAATTCCTCTTTACTACTTCAAAATGAGTTACAAAGGTTGACCTAGACTATTACAACTTTATTAATACTTTTATCCCAGAAACACGGGCGTTACAATGTCTTAGAGATATCTACATCGTTTAGTTAGGTATCGGGGGTTCGATAGCTAATGCTATTCTAATTCCTTCCAAGCTAGGGCCATTAACTTGGACCCTGGGGCTCCCAGGTCATTGGGATGAGTTCTTCTTCATAGTATTTCTTACTCTGGTCCTTTCATATGCTTACAAGTTCTCTGATGTTGTGTATGTGTGACTGGCTTCTTTTGGGATAACCGTCCTTCCAAAGACGATTTTCAATCTCTTCCATTATCCGGTGCCGATTTCTTAGTTAGTATCTTTGGGAGGTTTCGTGTCATTTGGTGTTGCGTTGTTGTTATTTAGTCTATTTTCACGGGGTTTTAGACCAGGTTCCTTCGTGGGGAAAGATTCTGCCAACTGCAGACTCTTGCTGTTGATGGCAGCCTCCTATATGTATCTTCTTTTGCAGAGCAATTCCCTGTCTTTCCTTCCCCGACTTTTGCGACACCTTGGTTTTGTTTTCTTTCAGGATTATTCTTCGTACTTTGTGTCTTCACTTTACGAATGCATGTGGGTATTCTTAGTGATACCCAACCTTCTTGATGCTTATGCTAACAATATGTGATGTATCTGGCATGGTAATGCTATTGCTACCATGCCCTCCCCCCTGGGCTACATGCCCAGGACTTACGTTTGTTCTTCTTATCGGGAGTGTGGGTGTATTTCTTCTCATATTTGACTGTTTTGGATGTGAGTATCATGATCTGTCTTCTTTTTGGGATCCGTACGGTGGCCGACATGGTGATTGCCCAGGTTTTCCTTGCTCGTGTGGTAATGGTTGTGATTGTTGTTGAACCTTTGGTTGTTCTGAACTTGACCGTGCCATGTATTGTCGATGGGATAGCCTGTAATTGAAAAAGAGTCGGGCACCCAAGGATTATATCGTTATCGGATCTTTTATTGAATACCAAGAACTCGATTATCCTGGTTACTTATTCCTTCCCATCGACACTGATTATAGTCAATTGTAGGCTTATGGTACCGAGTGGCCACAACTTGTGTCCCATGAAGCCAACAAGTGGGGCCTGGGCTGGGGGTTTTAGGTTCCTTATCCAACATGGCAGGAGTTGATTGAAATAGTTTTCGTAAAGGATATCAGTGTTGCTACCTCTGTTGACTAAGGCTCGCCATGTCTTCTGTTGTATGAATGTGGTAGGGATTATGATTGGATCGGCTAGGTCCCAGTTGGGCATTCGCGGGTCTGATGGTGAGAAACTGATGTGTAGAGTGTATCTGAGTGGGATCACATCACCTTTAGCCGGCCATTAGTACTTGTTTCGATTCTTAGGTCTCGCTATTGTGAAAATCTTCTCATTTTTTATTGGCTGTTTGATTGCTTCCTTGAAGGTTCTTCCATCTTTTTGGCCAACTTCAAACTTTGACCGTAGGGTACTTGCTATTTCTGTTAGGTCTCCGTTCAATTGCTTGTTCGCTAATTCTCTTTTGAGTATCACGCATTCATCGATGTTGTTTGTTTTTCTATTATGGTATTCGTAGTATTTGCTTTTTTCCTTCTCCTTCCGCTATGGGGTTTTTTCTACGGCGTGTACTTCCGACTTATAGCTCCTCAGGTCGTATTTGATGAACGGGCGGAATCTGCGGGATGAATTTCTCGAATGTATGCTCTTTTTGTCGTGGTTTCCATTATTGCGCTCTTTATGGTTGTGGCAGGATTAGGAGTCGGCCGTTCTTGTTTGTGGTAGGCATTCAATACAACCTTTAAATTTGCTTGTTTGTGTTCTTCTCCTTTGATCAATCGAAAGTATTTCTCGACCCTGTATTTAAGCTCGTCTCTAGATTTCGGTATTGTACCTTGCATTTTTCCTGACAGAGGGCCTGTGAGTAACCCTTGGGCGAAGGTGCTTGTGACTAAGAATTCTTCATGGCCTGGGTCGCTTAAAGTCGCTAAGGTGAACCGGTCATAATATGCTCGGATGGACTCTCCCTCCTTTTGCTTTCATTCCATGATTGAGTTGGAATCTCTTTTGAATTTTCTCAGGTGCATGAAGTTGTGGAGGAATAGATGTCTCAATTGTTCAAAGTTGGAGATGTTTTCCGGTCGTAACGCCTTGAACCACTTGTTGGCATTTCCTGACAGAGTGATCGGAAAGTAGGTACAGGTGAACCTCTTTTCCATCTGGAGTGATGTCATCATCCATCCATAAGTTTCTATGTGTTTGTTGGAATCTTTCGTGCCGTTATATTTTGGGATATTTGGGAACATGGCAGAATGTGGTATTTCGTATTGTAGGAGCTCCTAGAAAAATGCCGAGGTAATGCTTGATACTGATTCGTGCATGTGTGGATATGTAGGTGCTCCACTAGCCATTGTGTGATGCATGTGATAGGGGATGGCGTACCCTTGACTGTATTCGTAATGGTACCCATGGCTGTACACTAGTGTTTGCAGCACCTACACTACCTGCGTGGAGCATGCATGCGCCAGTTGATTTGGCTGTGCGCTCGATTCCATTGGTCCAATGTTGTGCGAGTATGTCCCCTACACCGGTGTGCCTTGACTGTTGTTGTTTTGTGGTTGTTGGAGGGTACATGCCTTGGTAGTAGTATGAGTATGGTTTGAACACTAGTTGTTGTGCGAATAGTGGGTCGTGCGACATGGCGGCCATCAAGGAAGACAGGTGACCTGCAGGCATTGGTTGTATAGTGGACAATATAGTGCTCGGGTACCAGGTATTGGTCCCTGCCTTTCGTGTGGATGGCTGCTATCAAGTTGTTGGCTGTGATTGTGTGGTCGGTGCCCTTTAGGGCGTCGTGGTGTTCACCATGGTTAGATGTGTCGTTGCAACGGGTGTCGGTCGCTATAAAACACCAAGAAGCTCTCGAAGCTCTCTCCTCAAAAATCGCAGAAGATCTCGAAGGTGCTCCTCATGCTACTCCCTGGTCTTGGAATACACTGACATATCATCAATTAAAACAATAACTGATCGATCAAGCATCGACCTGCATACCCAATTCATCAATTCCATAAATGTCGCATGTGCATTGGTGAGCTTGAATGGCATCACCACGAACTCTTGATGACCATAATGAGTTTGAAACGAGGTCCTCTCCACGTCCTCCTCCATAACCTTCATCTGATGATATCCTAACCTCATATCATACTTGGAGAACCAAGATGCACCCTGAAATTGATCGAAGAGGTCATCAATCCACAGGAGGGGATAACGGTTCTTCATCGTCAACTTGTTCAACTCCCAGTAATCAATAGACATCTGGTGTGAACCATCCTTCTTCTTGACGAACAAAATAGATGCTCCCACGGAGAACTGGCGGCCTAATAAATTGTTTTCCCAACAACTACTGAAGTAGAGAGGACAACTCTTGCATCTCCGATGGTGCTAATTTGTTTGTTGTCTAAGCAATTGGGACAACACATGGAACTAAATCCATCCTCAACTCAACCTGCCTCTCGGGAGGCACACCAGGAAATTCCTCCGAGAACACATCAACAAAATCTTTGACAATAGGTACATATCAAACTAAAACCTGTTTCCTACCCTGAGTTTCAACCACATAAGAATGATAACCCATACAACCATACTGAATATACTATCGAGCTCTGATAGCAGAACAAAAGGTTGACCCAACCCTGGTACTCTCTCCACAGTTCTCCCCCACTTGGGTTTTGAACTACCACCTACTGACCCTCATAGCCAATCATAGCCCCAAACCTACTCAGCAAATCCATACCTACTATCATGCATACATCCCCCATAATGATAGGAATCATATCAATTGGATAGGGCACCCCAAAAATCTCCAATACACAACCTTAATAGACGCTCGATGCATAAACTCTGTGTTCATTGGTGATATCAACCTGAAATAGACATTCAACTCTCTAAGAGTCATCGAAACCCCTGCTAAAAGACTAAGATACAAAGGACCGAATCGCACCTGAGTTAAATAATACAAGAGCAGACGAGGAATTCACTAAGAAGGTACTTAATAGAAACATAAAAATTAGTATAGACATAATCATACCATAAATAAGTTGACAGGATAATAAATGAAAACATACTGGTAACGACGTTTGGCGCCACCCTGACATCCTCTGCAGTGAGCTGAAAAACGAGACCTCGAGCCCTCAGGGGTTCTGCCCTACCCTGGTGTAACACCCAAGGTTTCAAAGGCCAAGAAGGGAAAGAAAAGCCCTAATTTAAGGGCCGACTCGGCGAGTCCGAGTGGGATCTGGGTCGAGGTGTAAGCGACCGACTCGGCGAGTCGGTCAAGGTGACTCGACGAGTCTGGTTTGTGCGTGGAAAACCCTAAATTCGGGACTTGGGGCCTATATAAATGTCTTAATCTTCTTCCTAGGTTCCTTACTGCCTCTTTAGCCCTGGATATCAAACCCTAGCCGTCATATCTCCTAGTTGAGCCTTGGAAGGTGCATTAAAGCTTGGAAAAGGAAGAAGGAACTTGGAGGAGCAAGAAGGAGCTATAGATCTGGGATTGTGAGTTCATTCTGAGCACTTGGAGGTAATAAACTAGTTCCTGGACCCTTTTTGCACCTAGATCTATGTGTGGTTGTTGGGGCTCTTTTGCCATAATGTTATTATTTTGGGTTAGAAGCCGGATCTGGAGTTGCTACTTCAGATTCAAGTGTTTTAGGGCCTGGAGAAGCATAAAGTATCAGCCATTGAGTCGATTTTGAAGTCCCTTGGCCTTACACCCTAGTTAATGGCGTATCTTGCCTAGATCTCCTTCTCTACACGTAAAGTTTGCAACTTTACGTGTGGAATAGGCTTGGGAAGGGTGGATCTATAGTTTGGAGTCCATGCATGACTCAAAAATCCTCTGCATGTAAGGAGATCTGAAGGGACTCGACGAGTCCTTTGAGTGGACTCGGCGAGTAGCATGAAGTTTTGGAGAAACTCGACGAGTGGGATGAACAACTCGTCGAGTCGTATGAAGATTGCCTTGGACTCGGCGAGTCTGTTCTTGGACTCGGCGAGTCAGGTCGCGAAACCCCAAACCCTTCGAGTTGTGACTCGAATCAGTGAGTCGGGTGGAGACTCAGTGAGTTGAACAGGTCTGGACTCAGAAATCGGTAGACTCGGCGAGTCATGGACTGACTCGGCGAGTCGAGTCGCGAATGAAAGGAATCTGATCATTTTGAACTCGGCGAGTCAGTAGGGTGACTCGGCGAGTAGGGTTGACCTGGAAGGTTGACTTTGACCAGGACTTTGACTTTGGACCAGGGTGGACTTGATTGTCTTTCGGGGGTCAGTTAGACTCAGTGTTGCATTGATATTGGTAGTTCGGGGAGCAAGGGGAGCAGGAGTTCCGTGAGTTGTCGGGAAGCAGCTAGTGAGATCATCAGCAAGTTCAGCCAGTTCAGGTGAGTTTCCCTTTGTGTGAATGGGTCTAAGGCCACAATGCCGGCCCATGTAGTTATGAGTAGAAGACCTGGGGGTTAGCCCTAGGCACAGTATGCTAGCATTGTTTGCAGTACGAGGTCCAGTAATAGCGGGCGGGCGCCCAAGGAATTGTTTATATATGATAGTTTATACTTGTTGTCTGTGTGATACATGTATGTACCTGGTAGGGAGGTGAGTGTGGGCGAGGTCCCGTATCTCACCAATAGCAGAGTGTGGATGGGGTTCCATATCTCACTAGTAGCAGATTAGGGGCGAGGCCCGAATTAGAACAGGAGTGAGAGTGGGCTAGGCCCGTACCTCACTACCATTAGGAGCATGGATGGGGTTCCATGACTCCTCAGTAGCAGGACATGGGCGAGGCCCAGGAAAGGCGAGGCCTTAGGACAGAACCAGTTGCATGTGTTAGTTATGTGTTATGAAATGTTTATGTGTTATTATTTGTTGACGGGCGAGGCCCTGTGACAGGCGAGGCCTAAGTAAAACAGATATGTATCCGAGCGGGGCTCGAAGCCAGGCGGGGCCTGGAGCGGCGGGGCCGTTGTAGCGGGCGAGGCCCGAGGTAGGGGGCGAGGCCCAAGATAGGGGGCGTGGCCCAATATGTGCAGTATGTGGTTATGCATGGTATGTGGTAGGGTGGGGAACTCACTAAGCTTCGTGCTTACGGTTTTCAGTTTTGGTTTCAGGTACTTCCGGTAGCGGAGGAAAGAGCTTGGGGTGATCGCATGGCACACACCATAGGAACTTACGGTAGCCTGGGAATGTTTACTCTGATAACGAACATATGTTTTGAAAACTTATACTCATATTATGTTTTGGAATGATGATGTTACTTTAAGTAATGATTTATTAAAGAAATTTTTGGTCTTAAATTTTGGGTCGTTACAGCTGGCATACATATGTGATCCTCAATGTAGTCGGTGTTGGAGCATGTGTCGGCCCCACAGTAAGAAAGCGACGGTTGGTCTTAATATGTCCAACCAACTCATAGTGATAACAAATCTTGATGCTTGGTATTAGGACCTGCTGACGACAATCTGTAACACCCAGGTCTTGGAGGTACTTATTTATTGATTTTCTAGCTATTGGATGAGGGTCATGATGTGAGACATGGTTGTCACATCGTGAGTGACCATTGACTATTTGACCCGTGTTTTGAGTCTCACGACGTGAGCCTATGGGTGCTCACAACATGAGAACAGTCTGATGTCCAAAACCCTACTATTTCGGGTATTTAATGGAATAAGAGGGCTAGGGTTACCCATCCTTAGCCTCCCTCACTCTCTTACGTCATGAAAACCCTAATCTCGACCTACTTGAATTTCATAGCCATTTTGTGACATTGAAGCATACTTTGGTGTTTTTTGACTCATTGAAGTGGAAGAAGACTTAATGTAGCAACATCTCAGTAATTCAGCTTCTAAATCACCTTCTTGTAGAGATTTTGGACCATTGTAAGTCATAAAACTCTGTCATTTTTACCGCTTGCATGCTAGATCTAAGTTTTAAGCTCCTTTTTTCATGGTTGTGAAGGATTGAATGCATGGGATCCGTAAAGTTTGCAACTTAATGGATCATTGAGGCATTCTCAATAATATAATCTTTAGATCTGAGTTTTAGAGTATTTTTAGACTCCAAGCATGAGTCTTGATCCAATTTTACCCTCTTTTGACCTAATGAGTGTTTGAGTCATGCATTGAACATGCATGACTAAAAAGATATGATTTTTATCATCCTTTGGGTGAGGGAAGACCCTTTGGAAACTCCCAAGTAATGGTTGAAAGGAATAAGAGCTTAATGCTCAAAGTTGGCCAATACAACTCTGACGACATGACGATAAGCATGTCACATTGTGAAAATGCTTGTCATCCCTACTACTTTGCCCAGATTAGGTCACAATGTGAATCAGGAAGTGGTCACCACGTAGCAATGGTTGGAATTGATAGTGGGCAAGTTGATTGGTTGAATTAACTCACTGAGTTGGGCCCATGTCAAAGTCAATGCTTATGACATGATCACGAGTTGGTTATGATGTGAGGGTTAGCTGTTGGAGTTAGATTGTTGACTTGAGGCCATTTTGGGACATTTGGTCCTTAGGGTTCTCTAGATGGGCTAGGCCATTACTAGGCATAGTTTGGGCTTGGGCCATTATTGGGCCTCATGATTAGGGGCTTAACCTTAGAAAGTAACTATGGTTGGCAATGACTGTGTTCAACATGAGGCATCATTGTACAACAACTTGGGTGTCAGATTTA